ATTCTATTCTATTCTATTCTATTCTATTCTATTCTATTCTATTCTATTCTATTCTATTACGAAACTTTAACAAAAAATGAATGTCTGCTCTTCACCTATTTGTAAGTTGAAACTTGCTAATTGAACAAAGATAATACATGGTTCTCATCATTCTTGTGTATAGCATAATGGCATTTAGAATTTGATGGACAGTTTAATGGATTTTAAGATAATTTACATATACTTTATATGTAGGAGTGATTCTATCATTGTTTTGGGAATAGAGAAAAGTACCATTCATCTGAAGCTCTAGTGTGCTTGCTGGGAAGTTGTGTTTGGATAAACTAGCACCTCCACATGATATGTAGATAATCACCATGATTTCTGTGACAGATTATTATAACAAATATTTCTCATTGCATTGTTTTAAGACATTGTAACATCATGCCCTATTTTAAATTATCCAATTCCATGATTTTATTATATTCTCTGGCCAATATAAAGTAAATATAGAGTGAAAATTGCAGCATAAAATTTGCCCATATAAGATGATAGCCATATGAGATATTGCATTTCTGCATCAATAATTATTATCTAGTAATGTGAGAAGTGAAAAACTCACTGGAAGGTAGTTTAGTTTTTAAACCAATAGTTGATTAATAAAAATCAGACTTAGGCTTCAACTTTGATCAGATCTGCTTGAAATAGTGCTGTGTTAATGGAGCAATATAGCAGTTGGGCTGGAGTTTAGCCTCCAAAAAGCTTTGATGGCTACTGGGTTCCAAATATCTAATAGTCTATCTTTAGCTTAAAAAAAATGAATAGATAAAGATTTCCCCTGGACATTGTTAATGACATCCCATCTTATGCCACTCAATCTGTTACAAGGAAGGTCAATCTGTAAAATCTGCGAAAGGTTGTATTTAAGTATTAAAATACTGTGTTATCAGATTTGGTAGCTGGAAGAGAAAATTATCACTTCAAAAGCAGACTTTTTCTTTTTTCCCCCTCTTCACTGTGCAAAATCCTATCCAAACCCTGATTTGGGTTTCATGCAATAAACACTCTTTATATTTTTCTTCATGAGCTATAGTAAACTTTGTCTCTGAAAACATCTCAGTCTTCCAGGTGGGTAACCTTTTTTAGATAAGTGATTCAGTTAAATCTGTTGTATTAAGAAATGACATCTTTAAGACTCTTACAGTACTTATCAAGAAACAAATATATTATGGCATGGGTGTTTGTAGCTACAGTCCATTTCATCACATGCAGTTGATACCATAATATTTTGTTTGTTTTCAATTTTTGATATCTCTTGTGCTATTGGGAATTTGCTTTAGGAAAATAAGTCATCAAATATAAAGGAAGATCTTACCCACAGTCTTCAATCACTTTTCCAATTCTATAGAACAGAATTCAGTAGTGATATTTTAAGCAGATAGCTTATTATTTATAATATTAATTTGATGTTACTTTCACTAATAAACTTTTTATTAGATGTATACTTTGGACATTAGATACATATATCTTATTAAATGCATACATTCAGGTCAGAAAATTAACCATACCACTTATAATCAAAAGATCAGATTGTGTACCTTATTTTTTAAATGCAATATGATTCAAAAAATAGCTGTTTCTAGATGCAAATACTCACCTGGTGATGTACTAGACGCAAAGGTAATATTGTTTTCTGGGGAACACCTGCAGTCTGATTTTTCTGTCTCTTTAGACACTCCAGATGAAAGGATGCTCTTCGACCTAGAAAGCCAATTGCACAGTATGAAAACAGATTAGTCCAACTGCATAATCACTGAAAAGAGCATTAACCTATGAAGCAGACATGGGTACTAAATACAGGTAACCTTTGACTTACAACTAGTCACTTAAGCAACTGTTTGAAATTACAATGGACCTCCACAGAGCTATTATATAATTTCAGAATTCTGATGGCTGCTTCCCCCCACGGTCATCTGATTGCACTTTGGATGCTTGACAACTAGCCTTCATTTATGACTGTTTGCAGTGTCCTGCGTCTTGTGACTGAAATCAGCATTGACTCCTAGTTGCTGGCAAAAAATGGCCACTGGGTTTGTTTAATGGCCATGGGGTTTGTTTAATAACCATAGTGTTTGCTTATTGACCACTGCAAAAACATAGTAAAATTGGTGCACTATCACACTGTGATCTACTTAACAACCAGCATGACTTATGACTATAATCCTGGGCTCAATTATGATCTTATGTTGAAATATCATTCTTCCCTTGTATCACTGATAGGACTGTTACTTACAGTAAGAACTTTTCAACTAAAAGGGTATTGCCATATTCTACAGTTAAGGCTTCTGTTTATATTTTTAGCCCAATTCTCTTAAATAAACGTGAGTTGAGGCAAAATAGTTCTGTGTGTGTGTGTGTGAGAGAGATGGCATTTGCAGAAGAAAATCAAAGGCATAGAAAAGATTAGGAATTTCCCCCTCAGCTATTGGGCTTTTATGTTAAGCTGACAAACACACAATTTGGGTTTACACAGTTCTTAATTAAACATTGTATATATTTATGTGGTCTATTTCTCATTGGGATAATAAATCTGGACTATAAGTAGAAACCTACATAGCAGAGCATTTTGCTTTTTTTAAAAAAAATGTGTATTATCTGCAAAATATGAATGTCAAAAATAATCTAGATAGGAACTCTCATTTTACAGGATTTCCCTGTAATGTATATGTTTTATAGTTTGAAGATATACAATGAAGACACAATATTTGTTTATTTGAGAACAAGGGTTAACCTATCTGAATTGCAAGTTTTAATTCAATAGCAGTTCTCAAGTAGTCGAATAATGTTTGTGATCCAGGATAAATTGACAGAATTTCAGTACATTCCAACATTCTGGCAGCTAATAGCTGAAAGCCATGAAAGCATGATTACCAGCTGTGTAATCTATTTCATGTTTTCAAGAAATGATAGATTTTTAATAGATTACACAATTTTTACAATGTCAACAGTATTACTTAGTGATGAGGAATGTAGAAATCCAATCTTTGGAGATGGCTGGATGTCTTCTTTGCTCTCTGGGAGAGTTAACTGTCTGTGTTCATCATCTTGGTATGATAACCTGTAATTAAAAATGTCATGTTTTTCCAAAATATACGAATTAGCCAACATGTTGTACAGTTCTGAAAGAGGAACACAGCCTCTTCTATCAGATTTAATTAGGTTGTCAAACTATACAATGTAGGGTTAGTAGTCTAATCTTCAAATCTGCAGATTTTGCCTCTCAGTTCTGTTCCACATACCAAGCTATTACTCGTATCACAATGGAATGATGAAATATTTGAGAATGATATTTGTTGTGGTCCACCGGTGGCCTGAGGAGCTGGCAGCAAAGTCAGACACTGGGGTGGAATATGGACCAGTCCTGGAATCTGGGAAGGGCTCAGACGAGGGATCTGAGTCCAATACAGAGATGGGGGCAGGGCCATCTGAGAGTTATGTGCTGACTCTGGACCCTCCAGAAGCTGACATCAGCAAGGCAGAGGAACAGTGGGAGCCTGTTCCAAGTGTGTGCTTGCGCAGACCTGCCAGAAGGCAAGAACAGTTAAGACAAAAGCAGTGACTCGGGAGTAAGGCTTGGAGATGATTGGCCTCTCCCATAAGACATAAAGGAGGAGCAAAATGACACGAGCCTTTGCAGGAAGCAATTTTGTTCATTCTGGTTGGTTTAAAATCTGAAGCTCTGTGTTGACTTTGTGCTCCATTTGGGCTTGTACAGCTAATTGGCAAGTTAGGCGTTGGCAGCATTTCAAGGGAGATAAAGGTGGGTGCTTATTAGCCTTATCTCGAAAGACTGGCAGACTTCTGTTGGACTATTCATAAGCTGTTTGGGACTCATTACCGGCTGTGAATGTATATCATTCACAGCTGTTGAAATAAAAAAATAAGGGTTCTGGGAAACGTACGTGATTGTTACTGTCTCAGGAAGCCTTGGTAAGAACAATATTTTAGAATGAGTTTCTTTATTTAGTTTTCAATCATTTTTCTTTTTTAAACAGCCTACCATACTAATTATACTCACAATAGTATAATTAGGAATACATTGATAATTCATTCAAAAAATTAGGAATATATTGGTATGTGGAAGCAGGTTTTTATAACCTCAAGAAATTGAATTAAATTATTATAGTCTTCTCATTATAGAGAACTTCTTATAGAAGAATTGGGGAGCTAACTAGTGGTAAAACCAGAAATAATTCCTTTATGTGTATGATATACCGTACATGTGCCTGGATTTATGACTTACCTACAGTATTTATTTTCATACTGCAGCGCTAAATTATTAATTCAGGTAGAATGCTAAATTATGATTTGCCTACAAATACTTTACTTGCTTGTTCACTATTATTTTTTCCTATCCTTGTATATTCTATTATCAGCAAATTACAAATTAAACTATTGTATAAATATATGGAAAAAGTTACTAATATATTTCTAACCTGGAACTATTGGAAAGGCAAAACTGAATGTTGTGATTCCAATCCTAAAATTCCAAAACAACTTGCATACTACAATAGAATACTCACATTTCAGGTGATAACAAATTTGGTTCACTACAATATTCAGTTTCTTCATTTAACTGCTCATTATATGTTTCTTCCTCCTGAGGAGCTTCCTCTTCACTAACAATTGCTACTTGGCTGTCTCTGGAATAGGATCTAATAAGCAAAAAGATCAGAATGGTTTAGGGATAATGAAGAAAATGTAGAAATGCTGCAGTGGAAACACAGATTCTGTTGCATTATTTTTAAACAGATCCTGGCAAAATTAACTTACAAGAAAGATAACAATGATACATACTTTACTTAGAACAGCTTATATCCTGTGACAAAACCCTAACACCATCAAACATTTACATCTGCCTATCCCTTGAAAAGGACTTGATAGGCAGACAAAAATGCCAAATCTAGTCTGAACATCTGTTGCCTATGCAACGAACCATATTAAATTTATATACCATTGGACTCCCAGTAACTCTGGGCAGCTTATAGTTGTTAAAACTTTTAAAAATGAAGAACAATATGAAAACCTAAAAACAGCATAAGACAAACGAATAACAATGACAAAGAAAATAAACCCAGAGGGGAACAAAAAGGAAGAAAGGAATATTAGTCTTTTCTTTAATAGAATAGGTATTCAGATTTTGAGGTGAACTTTATTTCAGATAGCATTATTTGGAAACCAAGATATGCCAACCCTGCCAAATTGAATTGGCCTGGCAAATGAGATACAGATCTCATGTATGGAAATTAATTTGGAAATGGGAAAGCAAGATATGAAGCATCTGCCTTAGATTTTCTGTTCACCATGCATGTCATACTTCTGAAATGGAAAATATAACAACAACAACAACAATAATAATAAACTATTTTTTTTTTGGAAAAAAAAAAACAAGTTTGAAACCTACATTGATATTCAAATGATCTGATAGTATTGCTTGGGACTCATGTATGTAACTGCATTTTATCTTGTTGATAATGTAATTTTTAAATTGCTTTGCTTCCAGAAAAACTATATACACATCTTAAACACATTTATTTTGCCATTATTGTCATCTCACTGGTATTTGGTGATTCACATGCATTACTGTGAATTAATTGAAATAACTGTCACTGTTTTATTCTGAGTTTAGGAGTAAATCAGAGGGGCAGGTGGCTAAATTATTGTTTTCCATGTATCTATTTTTTTTTGCTATTAAAAAAAACACAAGCTAATTATAAATGCAACTGTGATTCAGAAAAACAGCACTGTGCTGTCCCAGCCAGTCTATGGGAATTGCATAGTTACTTAGGAATTATGAGCTGTCCCCTTAAGGTAATGCATCATGGTAAATGTAGTTAAAGGTATCCTGAGAAATGTAGTTCATGTCATGTGACCACATCTGTAATCCTGATTGGTCACTAGTTTGACCTGCACCCTGGCCAGACCTGCATTCTTCGACCTCTTTGAAGTGCAACAAGAAAAACTTCCCATTACCGTATCAACATGCCATGGAGCAAGAAGAACGGCGGGGAGGAGAGCTACTGGACTATGCATAGAGTCATTGGATGGAAGGTTCCCGGTTCCCACTGCCACCCGTGTTTGAATGCCGAACGACCACAGTCAGATCATGACACCTGAGTTCATAAGTAGCATGCCTCACCTACAGCACCTGGCTCATTACTTTCCTGCTCTAGATCCGGAGGCTGATATCCTACTCTTGCTGCCCCATGTGCCTTTCTCTTCTCCGAATCATTTGGCAGCCCTGTAGATGGCCCAGTGGCCATCAAATCTCCACTAGGATGGGGGATCGTAGGAATTGTCAGTGTCAACCAGATGCAGACTCTAACCCAGGCAAATGCCTCAGCACCATCCAGTCCAACAACCTTTCGACGCCCTTTAGCACCATCGAAAACAAGAATGCCGTTCCAGAATAAATGGCTGCCAACAACCACCAGACACCCTTTGACACCGTGGAAGCAAGAGTACCATTCCAGTCCTAAAAGGCCGCCAGAAGCAACCACCAAACTTTCACCTTTGCCTCCAAGACTACCTGTCAACCCTAAAAGGCCTCCAGAAGCGACCTCCAGACTTTCACCTTTGCTACCAAGAGTATCTGTACACCCTAAAAGGCTGCCAGAGGTGACCAGCAGACTTGCACCAAGAGGCCAAACTTGAAGATTGAACCTCAAGCTTTGCATGCTTTGCTCTGTTTGATGCTTTATTAATGTTTACTGTTTTTCTTAGTTATATAGCTGTTTTTTTTAGTTATATAGTTATATGCCATTAATAGTATTACTGTTTACTGCTTATCTTAGTTTATAGTTAATTCTTTTTTCTTCTTTTCTCTTAATAGTGGAATTTACAATTCCAGGCGGGGAGTGTGCTGTCCCAACCAGTCTTTGGGAATTGGATAGTTACTTAGGAATTATAAACTGTCCCCTTAAGGGAATGCATCATGGTAAATGTAGTTAAAGGTATCCTGGGAAATGTAGTTCATGTCACGTGACCACCTCTGTAATCCTGATTGGTCACTAGTTTGACCCTCGAGGGGTTGGGGGAAGTTTTCCTCATTCTTTGTCTGAACTCTAACTCATGGCACCTTCTTTCTATCGCTACGAGATGGGTTAGGAGATAACCATCTTTTACTACAAGGCAGATATACAAAGGATTGGTCATTAAAGAAGAACTTTGTCACACACGTGAGTTATGAGGATACTTGATGAACCAATAAATGTTCTTTGTTATGGATGTCTTACTGAGTTATCTCTCTGCATCTGTATAGTTTATAAATCCACCTCTGTACAGGATACAGAAAAAGCACAGGAAGAAAAAAATGACCCCTGCCACTGTTCCAAACAGACTACCAATTCACATAACAGCATTCCGGTAATGATTATTTTTTTATTGATTAGAATGTATATAGCCACCAGATGTGTGTAATCATGACTCTAGGTGGCAGTATATCAAATAAATACCAAGCAAAAAAACATTTGAGTACAGTTAAGAGGCCATAAGAAGTAATGCAATCCATAGGCAACGTATCAACAACACATAGACAGAGTCAATCAATCCCTGTATTTTGCTTCCCAGAAAACAGGATCATCTGTCATTCTGACCAAGTATCTAAAAGAGGAAATGTTCTTTTAAAGCTTTCTGCATGGTGAAGAGAATTGGACTATCTGGGCTTTGAGTGGGGTGGGGTCAGGTAGGGATTATTCCAAAGTGAAGACATTGCCATAAAAAGACATTGCCATAAACATGTCCATCCTGTGACAAGAAGTGGGATAGACCCAAAGGCTAGGGACAAGTGGTCCTGCAAATAAGTTGTTAAGATTGTACATAACTTGTAGTTTGACCATAACATTAACAATTATTCGATGTAATGCATTTTGGATAAGTAATCCGCAAAATTATTCTAAGTTTGTTGTTTACATTAGCAACAAACCTCTTATTTATCTGTGTTACAGCAGTATTGTTCTCCTCCTTCACTACACCTGAAAACTAAAATTTAACATGATTTGATAAATGAATTTTTATATGAAATATAGATGAACAGCAAGATTACCTCCCTCCCTAGTGTTTCATAATAACGTATCGTAATTCATTGGGAAAGCATGGAAAGAAAAAAAGAAGACAATCAGGAATAGAGATGGAAAGAAGGAAAGTAAGTGGTATTTTTTGATTGCTATAGTTTTGCAGAGTAAGGTAGAAATCCGGAGCACAGATCTATTTGCCTAGCCTTTTAAAATTATGCTTCAGAAAACGGCAAACATAAGTCATGTTCCCTTGCTATGAACTGATGCAATCTCATCAAAAATAAAATATTAACAACAATATTTCCTAATATTTCCTATTAAACAATATGATTTTAAAAATAATTAAACTACAGAGGATCTCAATATGACATTTTACATGAATTTTCCTCAGTACAGTATACTAAACAATCCACCTAATTGTTAAGGGTGGTTTCTGCCAGTTTAAAGTAAATGTTTCAAATTAATTAAATGGTCAGATTTAGACATCCAAAGCATTTCAGCAATACTTTTTCAGCAATCCCAGTTTCATCTCAATATGATAAGCATTAATCCCCTTAAATCTTCTTTTCAATGCCTAGTTTGTCAGGATTGAAAGAGGGCAAGAACAAGGACTCTTTGGTTTTATTTACCTACAAGTTGAATTTACCATAAAATATTTTTTGTTTTATCTATCAAAAAGATATTAGGTCTTTCATCAATTTCTAGGATGCAGTGTTTATTCATTGCCAATTATTATTTTCCTCTTCCTACATGGCCTAACCCTATTTATTCTGAAGGGTCACAGTAATGAGGGTTGAAAAACACCCAGAAAGAAAAATAAAATGAAGCTTTTAAATAGACACAGATTGATCTTGTTATATTTTTTATGCTTTACTTTTCATATTTAATTATATCACACATATCCTCAACATTTGCTTTTTATACTGAATATTTTAAAAGAACTTATGGGCACAAAGACCTCATAATGGATGGTTAATATTAGATCAGATTAAAAAGTACTATCTTGCATATGCTTAATTATCTCACAGAATTAACTAACAAAAAATATTGGGATGACTCTGCTCCTAGAGGACAATCTCTTCTTCCAGGAGTACTCTGGATCAGTGGTCATCAACTGGTGGTCCATGGCCCACTGGTGTCCATGAGAAAATTTTGGTGGTCCACAGAGAAATGTCACCCCCAGAGTACCCTCAAAGCAATTAATCCAGGCTGCGCAGGAACACAAGGCTGCGCCGCCTACACGGCCTATGGGAACCCTCCCCGCCCATTCACTTCTTACCTGGCAAACTTGCCTGCTAAGTTGCTATTTCTCCTTTTTTTTCTGATCATCAGCTGTTCTGCTATACCGGGAGATTTAGATTGGCTAGAAAGCAGAAAATCGTTGGATTTGTTGCTTTCTGGCTAATCTTTAGATCTTCAGCTCTGCTTTTAAGCAGAGCCCAACCTTCCTTAGGACTGAAGCTTCTATTTGTCAGTGCAGACTCAGGTAGCCGATGACAGATATATAGATCTCTGAATGAATCTGTGATTCTGTGAGCAACTCAATCTGCCTGCCTGCTTTGCCTGATTTTGGGTAAAAGTTGCTCTTTTCTTTTTATAAAAAATTCAATATTTACATACATGGTATGTTGTAAGTTAATTTTATGAGCTTGCTTGCAAGCAAATTTTATTTGACAGACTCAGGTAGCCGATGGCAGAAACACAGATCTCTAAGTGAATCTGTGATTCTGTGAGCCACTCAATCTGCCTGTCTGCTTTGTCTGATTTTGGGTAAAAGTTGCTCTTTTTTATAAATAAATTCTATATCTATATAAATATTTATAATATTTACATTCAAGCCATGCCTAGCCAGTCACATGACCAAGCCACACCCACAAATTAGGCCACACCCACAGAACCAGTTAAGACATTTGAATCCCACCCTTATCTCTGTGTGTTTGTGTGTGTGAGAGGGGGGGGGGAAGAGAGGTTAGATCAGATCTTTCTCTCTCTCTCCCACCAACGTCAGCAAGCCACTGTCAGTCAAAATTCATATTAGTGGTCCCTGGGATTTAAAATTATGAGTTTGGTGGCCCCTGAGGTCCAAAAAGTTGGCGACCTCTGCTCTGGATCTTCATATCCTGGTTCCACCTACTGCTTTTGAAGTGGTACTTTGATAACTTCAGAACCCATCACCCAAAGATACCAAGATAATAATAATTTAAATTGTCCAATAGTGCCTGTGTTATGTTGAGATGGAGAAGATTACAAGTCCTCCTTGCCCCTCCCCCTTTACTTGGAAGAGAAAATCAATTAGATAGGAGTAAAAACAAAATTAGACTTTGTTAGAAAAAGGAAAAAACCCTGCCAAAATAAAAAATAGCATGCAAAATGCAACATGACTTGAGTTTACAAAGCAAAGGAAATGCTAGATGATACTTGTCTGATATAAATGGAAACAGTTTTTTTTTCCCTGCCAAATTTTGATACTGCAGAGATTTCAACTTGGATTATAAACACAACATATCCATGCTTACCCTGATGAATAGATAATTGGACGCACTTCACTAGGTTGCAAAAAAGAAATCTTTTTTTTTAAAAAAACCTTTAGCATCACAGAGAAAAAAAAAACAGAGAATTCCTGGCTGGAACATCTACCTATTTCTCAAATGCATTTTTTGTTTCAATCTTCCTGGATTTCCCATTTTCCTGGGATTCCCAATTTTAATTAGTTAGCCCCATGTTTTTCACACCTCAGGTTTAGAGTTGGAGAATCTGGAGTAATCTAACTCTAGATGGCACCTCATCTGTGGATGAGGAATTTATGTCTGTTCCTGCCTGGAATATGGATTGCTGGCTGCCATTTGCAACAGATATCCTTAAATAATTCTTAGGAAAATTTGTGGTAACTATTATCTATAAATGTTCAATAATAAAAAAGCAATAATCCTGCCAATAATCAGTGAATATGAGCTAATACCTTCTTTCCCATTCTTCTGAGTTTTTGGGGAGCCAACTGGTCAATCTTTATTAGAAACATGATACAATATTAAGATTTACATACATTAAAGCTCTTTTTAGATTATGAAGCTGTAATATTTATAATGTTACAGACATTAACTATCTGGCCCAAATGAAGAAGAAATATGAGGAAACTTGAACCTTGGAATTCCCTATACAGGTGGTCCATTCAGAGTTGTTTTTCCAACTGGAAAACTGGGAACCTACTAAGTAGATATGTAAATGAATACAAAGAAGCCATTAGGATTTTTTACTTGAGTACCCCAACTTACATTCTTGGGTTCTATTATAGGATCTCTTATATGCTAATTTTGTTTAAAATTTTCTCAAAAAGTGTTGACAAATAATAAAACATTGTTTTGTAATGTCTTTGGAGTAGTTTAGTAGTGATTAAAGCTAGAAAGCAGGAGACTGTGAGTTCAAGTCCCACTTTAGCCACGAAAGCTTGCTGGTAAACTTTACAGCAGTCACTTTCTGAGGCCCACTCACCTCAGAGGGTTGCTATGGAAAAAATAGGGGATATGTTTGCCACCTTGAATTATTTGTAAATATAATAAAGGTGGGATACAAATAAATAAAATAATCCAACAGTTTTATTTACAAAGGAGCAGGTGGAAAGGAGATAGGGCTGAACCTTGAAGGGTCAGGACTAAACTCTGTCTCAATTCATTTCTTCAAGCATTAGGTTGCATCAAGTTTTTGATGGATGTACTTACTCCTAATTCTTTATTAAAATTTAATTTAATAATTTATTTTTAAAATATGATTTAAAGTTAATTATATTTTGAAATGTACAGAATAGCCATTTTCATCATCTCCTGAGAGGGAGTGTATGTAGGTATGCATGTATGTAATTATTTATATATACATAATGGCTCAAATTTCTGTTATATTATTATATATTTCTTTTTGAAGTTCCATGCACCATTACAATGATCAATTAAATTGGCAAATGAGAGAAACATTGCTGCTGTCAACAATCTTTACCTTCTGCAACTGAACTTCCAAGGAACTTCCTGGATCCGTACAGTGGCGGAGGAAGGGGTGCTGTAGCTGTCCACGGTGCTGACAGTGTTGGGATAGCTTGGTGGATTAGAAAAGCGGCTCAAGGCAGTATTGTTGGCATTATTGATGTTAGCATTGGAACCTGATGAAGAGTAACTACTTGGAGTGAAGGTGGAGTCAACAAGCTTCTCATGGGATGGGGATTCAGTGTCTCCTTGGTTGTTGCTAGATTTGTTGATGTGCAAAGGGCGCTGAGTAGTGAATGTCTGAGGGAATGAGCTTCTGCCATCACTTTGGTAATAGCTGACATGATTTCCAAACAAACCACCAGCTCTCTGGAAGCAAAACACAAGCAGATTAATGAATGAATAAAAGCACCACTACAGAGGTAGTAGTCCTATAGGAGGTTGTAAAGCAAATATAACACAACTGGGCTGATTTAGGATGGTAGTTTTGCAGTTGCTATTGTTAGGCAAATCCCACATGGTCATTATGCACAGCAACACATGACTGTCATTTGTGATTCCTGTTGGCTTCCCTCACTGACTTTGCTTGTCAGAAACCAGCATGCAGGTCACGAATGGCGATCATGTGATAGTGGAATGCTGGAGCCATCATAATTGTGAGCTGGTGGCCAAGTGCCCAAATTGCAACCACGTGACCACAGGGATGCTGCAATAGTTGCAACTATGATGACCAGTCATAAATATCTTTGTTCATTGCTGCTGTAACTTCAAATGGTAATTGAACAAATGGTTGCTGAATATGTTATAATAGCACACCCTGTTGTGTGCATTCAGCAATCCATTTCATAGGATGCTTTTGTGGAGCAGTACTTGCAAATAAATATCTGGCTCTTAAAACTCCAATGAACAATGTTTTCGTTTCCCTTTTGCACAGCAATGTACTTGTCATGTAGTCAGGATGCTTCTGGTCTTATTAGGAATAGAATAGAAATTCTTCATATCCTCCATCTTTTGACATTCATATTCCTGAATTATTACACTGGGAATTCACCAACCCTGATTCCCAGCAACCCTTCATTAAGGGGAAAGTGAGCTAAGTAGAAACCACCTTAGAGTTGCTTGATTTCTACAGTCAATTCCTTTAGGTTATTGTCTTCGTCTCCAAAGCTGCAGAGGAGGAGGAGGGCAAGGGAGAGAGATGAATGAAACCTGTGTCTGTGTATTGGTGAATGTTTGTATGTAGGCATACTTGTGATTTCACAACGCAGCAAGTAATGCGGTTCTTGGGGCTGTTCATCTCTGCTTTAACATGTTGGGAATGTAGCAACATAACATTAACAGTAGTGGTGGAAAGAATTTTATTTTTAATGTTGTATTAATCACATCCAGCTAAGAAGGGGCATAAGTTTTTTAAACCTCGGGTCTATGCACTACTTCTGCCAATCCTCTCTATTGATTCTGTAAGTAGATACTGACTAAAAACACAGATTATGCTCGCTAATTGCAGTATAAATAACTTTGAAATGCCTTTTTAAATTTTCTGTTTTTTATTATTCATAGTTATATAATCTTCTCTGTTCATCCTGTACTGCATATATTTCAGTCTATGAATCTGACTGAATATGTTTGGATCATTCTGCTGCACATCAGATTCATGATGAAAGCACTTACTCTGAAAATATCATCTTCAGAAGCAGCAGAAACAGCTTCTTTCATGGCCTTGTCTAATTCCTCTTCTGCTGTTAAGTCTCCAGATATTGCCCTTCGAATCTCTGGTCCAATGTCATGTAATGTGCGCAGACCAGCCTAGAAAATATTATGGTTTAGCATACTGGTAGATAGAAGAAATAAAATTGATCTTAAAATACAGTATTTATCAACATTGGTTCTTAACAGCTACTAAGTTTCAATGTAATGGATGTTGTAGTGCTGGCTACCGACACACTGCTTGTACATTTATGAAAGAAAGTTGGATGCTTTTATGTTTTGTTTGTTTTTGTTTGTCTTTAAAAACCAACAAAACTTGTTTTAAAAAAAAAGCAATTCAGAAAAATAGTACCACTTTCAATCCATCTGTGACAGTGGGACTCAAAAGAATGTAACCTATAACTTGTTCTCATGCAGTGAAGTTACTTGGTCTATTCTGAAGTTTAGGGAAAATATGATGAAAACTATAATGAATAATTTCATAAACATTTCCTAAATTTCACTACATTTTTTGTAGGATCTATATGATAGATCCTTGAGATGCTATTTATAGAATAACCTCATAATTTCACTTCCTCATAATTATGCTCTAAATATTTGGTCCAAGTATATTAATCTAGAAGTAAATATATTTGTTATCAAGATACCTATTTCCAACCAGTGGTTCTTACATAGACAATTTTAACTAAAAGGCCCTATTTATAATTAATTCTAATAACTAAAAAGATATGTTAATGATAACTGGTATACCCAATTTATTAGATTAAATGAAAATACTTTTAAAATTGGGGCTAGGGATCAACGTCTTGAGTTTGTAACTTCAAAATTAACTAAATTCATATATTTAAAGAGATGTTTCTCACAGTTTCTAGAGTAGCTCTTTGGTAGGAAGGATAATGAAACTGCTGGGCTGATAGTTTCTATCAATAATGCTAAGCAATATACAGAAGATCTACTCTTGACTTTCTTTTCTGTAAACCTCATGCTATGTATTGAATATTTACCTGTAGAGAAAGAGCATTACGTTGTGAAGGTTTGCCCACAAGACCCTGTTCTTTGCGTTTTTTGAATTTCCGGAAGTACTCTTGAATCAGGAATGTGGCATAGAATTTTCCAACTGTAACTTCATCATCTAGATGGCAAACATTTTGGGGGAAAAAAATCAAAGAAAAAGCTAAAACAATTGATAGTTTATTTGCTTTTGTAATTTATTAACAAACTATTAGTGCCCTACTATTTTAAAAAATTAATCCCCAGCCTTTATTCAGGAATTTCAGAGTGTATTACAGATTGGACTTGGTATTAAATAGAATACTGGAAAAAAAAAAGATGGACTCACCCCCTGCTGGGGGTACAACCTGATCCAACAACTTCATGCTAGTGCGCTTCCAGATTTTCTTAATGATTGCACGCAACTCCTCATTGGCTTGTTCCAAATTACCTATAAGAAGAAATATTAATAAAAAAAAATTCAGTTCTTTTATGGAACAGTACTTTTATCTGGTCCACAGATAAAAAGAGAGCCATTTAAAAATAAGAGGCTATCCTATAATAGGATTCTTAATAACTCTGATCCTATTAAAGCCAATTAAATGGGGAAAAAAGGTTGTCTTTTGGCTATAATTTGTAAAACATAGTAATAGATTGGGTTTTTAAGGCTGAAGGCCAAAGCCAGATTTAAGTTAATGCTCCTATAAAGGTAGAATGGTATTCAGGGAAATTAGAATTAGAATTAGATTTCCTTGAACAGAAGAAAGTTTCATGAGTAGCAAAAATATTTTAGGATCTAGTTACATTTTGTTTAAAGGATTCTCTACAGCTAGAGGTTAGGGGCTACTTCAGGTGACAAAGTTGTATCTATATATGACATTTGAGTGGATCATAAGTCATATTGCACCTACTCAAGTAACTCTTAATTCATCAAATATTTAGCTATAGTCTTCTATATTATGACCTTAGTTTATGATACTGCAATACAACACTTAAAGACAATGGCGTGATAAATGCAATTTTAACTATGAGATCAATTCAGAATTGAAACTGTCTGCATCTTCTGCATATTAATATGGAAATAAAAACCTGTCTCAAGAAAAGTTAATTAAGCTCTTTGAGATATAGAAAAAAAGATGTTATGAACAGAAATTAATTTGGATATGAATATACATCTGTTCCTTTCGTTTCTTGCCTTTTCATTGTAAACACAGGTAATTCTTGGTTAACAACTACTATTCACATTTTCAGGGATACTTTAATTTGGATTTATTGGATTTATCAATGAACAGGTAATTGACCCCTCCCAAATCTGTTTCTATTATTTTGTGGCATGATATCACATATGCTATAAGAAACTTATCAAGAATCCCATTTATTTCTGCTGCATATTGTCTTCTTACCTTCTGTTTTGATTCTCAGTGCTGTTCTTACTAGTGCAAATAAGGTTGCATTAAACATAACAGTTCCATCACTATTCAATGGCATATTCATAGAGACAAGACGCTATGAGGGAAGAAAAAGAGAGAAACATAATATTAATTATGTGGCCTATACCATATCAATTCATATACTGCTTTCCCAATTTCATTTTATAGTAATTGTATTAAGAATTATAATTACAACAATAAAGATTAATAAAAATTGAAAAAACTAATACAATAAAAAGAAAAAAATAGGGGATGCAGAAAAGGAAACAAAGAAACAGAAAGGAAAAATAAGAATATATTAAGAAAAGACAAGAAATATATAAAGAAATTTCTCCTTCATCACAACATCTATAAACAATTTTAATAACATCACCATTTCTTAAAATATAACAAATACTCTTTTCACTATATCCTCTCTTATCTATAAATAAATCCTTAAAATTGATGTCAGCAATGTCAACCTATCAGCATTGACAAAATCACCAGAAGTCTCATGGTGAGAACTAAGGAGAAATTTCCTAATATTTAGAACAATTAATCAGTGGGAAAACTTGCCTCCAGAGGTTGTGAATGCTCCAACAGTGGAAGTTTTAAAGAAGAGATTGGATAACCATTTGTCTGTGTTTCCTGACTGACCAGGGGGTTGGACTAGAAGACCTCCGAATGTTCTCTGTTGGAATAGCTTATGTTTTGCAATGGTATCTTCACAACCATCAATCAATAACATCTGTCTATCCCAGATCCTTGAGAAGGATTTGCTAGACCAGCGGTTCTCAACCTGTGGGTCGTGACCCCTTTGGGGGTCGAATGACCCTTTCATAGGGGTCGCCTAAGACCATTGGAAAACACATATTTTCGACGGTCTTAGGAACTGAGACACCGCTCCTCTATCCGTCTCCAGGCGGGTCCGCCCACATGCAGATACACCCACATACGAGTATCCAGCGTGATGACATCAACGCGCCAACCCCATCACATAAGACCCCATACAAATACAGGTGTATGTGAAAGTGTTGGCATCATAATGTACTTATGTGGACCAGTCACACGTGTAGAGAGCAGCTGCTGTGTAGAAAGCAGTTGCTGTGTTGAAAGCAGTTACTCAGTTAAAAGCAGCTACTGTGTTGAAAGCAGCAGTATTGGAGGTAAAATGACACTTCATGAATTATAATTACTGGGTAAATGTAAAATCATGCACTGCAAAATCATCAACTACTGCAAAAAAAATATATCTGTATCATGGGAACTTAATCTAGATGCTGATCAGTCTTTTTATATTCAGCTGTGGTTGATGTGAATACTGCCTCCTTGTGATAGTAACAGGTATGTAAAAAAACAACACAGAGAATGGTAAATCATAGGAAACTTTAATGAATTGTATTGACTGAACTATGCCATGTATCATCTTTTGTATTATTAAAGCAATTGTTATATATTTTCATTAGCAAACCATCCCATGGCAATGGATCGTGTAGAGAAGGGGGTCACCACAACATGAAGAACTGTATTAAAGGGTCGCGGCATTAGGAAGGTTGAGAACAGGGATGGGATCCGATCGGTATAGCTACCAGTTCTGTGTTGTCGCGTGAGTGCAATTTACGACCTGCTGAGCTGCCCGGACAGCTGAGCAGTGCTGCGTGCAAGTGTGCAGCGGTTGTAAAAGCCCTTTTTTTCCTGCTTTTTCAACCGCAGCTGTATTGCGCAAAGCAGCTGCGGTTTAAAAAGTAGGAAATAAAGGTCAGGTAAGAGCCCAGGCGGGCGAGTGGGCCCAAACATCAGCAGACATAGAACCGGTTCTATGTATGCTCTCTGTTTGCTGCTTTCAGAGCAACTGGGTCTACAGAAGTGGACAGAACCAGTAGAATCCCACCCTTGGTTGAGAACCACTGTGCTAGATGGATAAAAATGTCAAATCCAGTCTAAACATTTGGCAAATGTAAGCTATTCCAAGTAAAGCTGACTTTTGCAATTGATTGATGGTTTTTAATCTGATGTTGTTGACAAAAGTAGCAGTATGTATTTTAAAGTGTACATTGGGATTAATTTTAATAACTATACTAATATTGAAACAGTACTAATATCTAGAAAATAATTATTTTAAATAAAAACATTAAATGTTAACAAAAGGCAGTCAACCAAGCAAAAGTCTAAGAAACTAGTGCACATTTCATGATAATAACATTTATTAACTGCATAATAGAAAATCTAGAAATCACAAACTCTGAGTATTAATATTATATTGGATGACAATTCCTATCCTCCCATCAATATGACCAATGGTCACAGTGTATGGGGTTTGTCATCCATTAGAATATAAGAAAAAATAAAGCAAAACAGTAACAGGAAGGGAACAGAAACCTATCATACCTTGCAAGCTACCCTGTGAGGACAGAGCTTTCCAAAACCCAGAGGAGGTTGTATCCGACGCAGGAGTGTTACAACATCTAGATGTTTGATACGTCCTCTACAGGAAAATTTTTAAAAAAGAAAGCTTGTCAGGCAATATCCAAGGATACTGGTGGATTCCTTGGAATTTGGTGTCTGATTATACCAGTGCTCTGGATGATTTCTCCTAGCAATTTCATGTAGATGTTGAACATCAGGGGATATAATAAGTAACCTTATAGGAACCATAGAACGTTTGCTTAGATGTCAAACAATGTGTTTCAGAACTTCCTTTTGGACAGGGAAAACCAAAAGTACTGCAAAAAAGCATTCCTGTGAGGGAATGCAGCTGGGGTTGCTGTCTGCATGTGGGAAAAGCAGCTGCAGCTAAGCAGACATGCTTCCCACCTTCACCTCCTCAAGGATAGATTCAACTTATCCCTTTTCTCAAACAGCAGTGCAGGTATTGCTTGACTCACAACCACCATTGAGCCCCAACTTTCTGTTGCTAAACAAGACAGTTGTTAAAAGCTGTTTTGTCCCATTTTACGACCTTTCTTGCCACACTTGTTAAATGAATCAGTATAGTTAAGTTAGTAACATGGTAGTTAATTGAATCTGGCTTCCCCATTGACTTTGCTTGTCAGAAGGTCACAAAAGGTGATCACATGACCTTTGCAACTGTCATAAATATAAGTCAGTTGCCCAGCATCTGAATTTTGATCAGATGACTACAGGGATGCTGCAATGGTTTTAAGAGTGACAAAAATCCCAAATTATTTATTTCAATGCCATTGTAACTTTGAGTGGTTATTAAATGAACTGCAGGACTACCTATAAATGTTTACAGTTCCAAAAACCTGAGAGGAGATGGGCTCATTCTTTTTCATTCATTCATTTTCCCATTCACAGTTTCCTCATAAGCATTGACACTGGTGTTCCAGATGTTTAGCTAATTGAGCCAGACCCTTGTGTTTTCAGGAATGTGCAGATATATATAGGCAGTCTTAACACACCCACCCACTAGGCCCTTAGCCTACAAAAGTGTAAAAGGAGAAGACAACGAATAGACAAGAAAGTGAGAAGTGATGTCTGGAAATGTATGACTATTACAGGCAAGCAGAAGAGCTATCAATCAACTGCGAAGGACCACAAGCTACTGTAAGCAGCTCATTGTGATATGATTTCTGCCTGGAGCTTGGCAGCAAACATACTGTGTCAGCACCTAGTCAACAAGTGCAGAGGCATTTGTAGAGAGACAAGGGTTGTATGCCACTTTACAGACATTAAGACTTTTACTTGTTACAAGGATGATCTTTGAGGGCTTATTTACATAGTCACATTAATTTGCAAAGCCTAGAAGGGTGGAATTGGAAATCAGGGGACTAGGAAAGGTGTATTGTATCATGTAATGATCTAAGATGTGGGATGTCTAATCTTTGGAAAACAACACTCACAAACCCCAAAGCCTGATTCCATCATAAGATCTGGAGTTGGTGATACTGAAACCTACTGAAAATCTGGGACAAGCAGCAGGTCAGCATTTTCCTCATGCAATTTCTGGCAAAGGCAATTTACCAAGTAAATAAAAGGAGTTTCAGTATCTCCTGCCAGCCAAAAGCTCAACTCAAATCAATCTAGATAATTAGTATAATTTAGATGAATGCAGAGATATGAGGCCACCACCTATTCAGTTGCCTAGGTGATCAAATAATTGATATGATGCATAGTGTACTTAGGAAGCATAATATTAATGACCTTGATTGTTTCTATATTCTTATATAATATTTCATATAAATAAGATTAGAAATTTTCTGAGTGCACTGAGGTAGTCTGGACTCAATCATTTTAACTGGTTCTGATCTCCACCTTTGTAAAGATTTGTACCAGTCATTTAGCCTGAACCTAATTAAAAAAATGATCCATCCTAGAGAGATCCCCCCCTTTCAGCCTATCAGTTCTACCCAAATAGAATACAAAATCCAGCATGTGCCCTGCTATACATATAAGATTGGATACCATTTGTCTTGCTTGTCACAGAAGACATGAAATCCTAAGCAGCTCCTAAATAGAAACCTGAGTATATACTAAATTTTGTAGGTGGAGTTTCTCAGAGTTCCTTTCTTTAAGTTGTGTGGCTGGAAACTTACTTGGCTTCAGGATCATACTCTGCCCAAATCCGTTTAAACTCATCCAGATGATGGGGACCCAGAATGGACCAATCACGGGTTAAGTAATCAAAATTATCCATGATAACGGCAACAAAAAGGTTAATGATCTGTGAATAAGAACAAAAACATTTGTTCTACGATAAGGTATTTCATGCCATAATGTATATTTCAAGGTCTTTTTCAGACAAAGTGCTTCTACAATGCTCCTCTTGAAAAACAATATATAAACAAGATCAAAAGGTGCTAAAAGGAGTTTCAGAATTGCATATGGCTCAGGGATCACTACTTCGCCTCCCCTAACCATTTTTTTGTTAAAAATGCAAATCACTACACAACTTTTACAGATCGCCATAGCTACTTACTAGAAAGGCACAAAGCATGTAGAAACTGATGAAATAAAATACAGCAAAGCTGCTCCCGCAGGGATGTTCACCTTCAGTAGTACTGTTTGGTTCCACAGAGTCAAGGTCACACTTCTTATCAGGTAGGCATGCAAGCATGATTTCCTGCCAAGCTTCACCAGTAGCACATCTGTTGAAAACGGGGTTTCGTTACTGGTGGGGGGTTTAGACATTAAGTACTCAGCAAATAACTCACAAGATAATTGTGTCTAGGTGGCTCAGATGTCTGCAGCATAGAGCAAATCATACTTCATAAGCAGCCACAGACGTCTGATAAAATGTCTATTGTACCTGATAGTTTGGGTAGCTGGTCTACACAAAGCATTTTGAGATTTGGAAAGTAACAGATCTTATACCTCATAAAATGTATTAAATTCAGTGGAATTAAAAATCAAAAGACTAGTACAAATTTGGCCTCTGGAAGAAAAAAAATTAAACCATTTTCCTAAAATATGATTAAATCAAATATGCTTTGGGGTTAGCAATGTTTTGTGATTGGGAGATTTTTTTTATTTTTATTTTTTCAATTTTCCAGTGTTGTCTTACCATCATGGAAGAAGGCAGGGCCAACATTTAGGTCTTACTGGAAGATTTAAAAAAAAAACTTTTAAAGGTGAGTCTGCTGCTTTAGGCTTAATAACCATTCTAAAGACTTGGTGCCCTTAATTTCTTGAGTTCCTATTTGAAGCTATTGGAAAGCTACAACAGTAATGAAAAATAAGACACTGAGACAATGCCATCCTGGGGACCTTGGGGGTTTTATATGGGTTGCCTGCCCTGGCATCCCTTGTTGCAACCTACCTGAAAAGCAGGAGCACAGCCTGAGGAAATGTTTGAAAGTTGTTGTTCCGATTGATTTCTGTAGTATCATTTAGTGCAATTTTACCAAACACCTAATAAACGAAAAAGCTGGTTCAAGGTAATGTTTCACTCCACAAGATATTCCTGTATCTGATAATCTTAATATTCTCATTCTAATAAACTTATAAAATATACTTATATATATCCTACACACAGACAGTCCTTGACTTACAACAGTTCATTTAGTGACTGTTCAAAGTTAAAATGGCACCGAAAAAGTGACTTATGACCATATTTTACACCTACAACTATTGCAGCATCCCCATGGCTACATGATTAAAATTCAGACACTTGGCAACTGATTCATATTTATGACTGTTGCAGTGTCCTGGGCTCATGTTACCTTTTGCAATCTTCTGACAAGCAAAGTCAATGGGAAGCTTAGCATTGATGTTGCTAAACAACATCAGTGATTCACTTAACAACTGGCAAGAAAAGTCTCAAAATTGGGCAAAATTTACTTAACAGATGTCCTACTTTGCAACAAATTTTAGGCTCAATTGTGATTATAAATTGAGGACTACCTGCCTGTATTTGCCTGGTTCTGATATCTCAATTCAATATTTGACATCTTCCCACTGCACTGGGTGTACATCTGATTGACAGATGTGAAACAATAAAAGAACTCAGCTTGGAAGAATCACCACATGTTATTGTTGGTTTGAGGTCCTAGCAGATGGTAAGATAGGAAATAATTCTATAAATAATCAAGACAGACTGAATCTGTTATGTTCGTCTTGGTACTTGAGAAAAAATTGGATGGTTTGGAAAATATGCAGGTTTAGAGCATCTGCACATCCTTCCATTTTCTGAAAGAGTTTTCTGTTCCTAATGACCTAAAAAGGAATGTTGGTATTAAAAGTAGAAGTGTTCTGTGCTGGAGATTTATGTAGCTAATCTATGTTACCTTCCTTAGTCGGGTAATGAAACATCTGCAAGCAAACAACTGAGTTATTGAACGCTAAGAACTCCACTAAACTATTTTTAAAAATCTGGTCTGGTAAGTCTGTGTGAGAATTTTAGGCTCAAATATCCTGAGCTATACCGGAATCAAAAGTATTGGGCGAGTTATGAAAATGCCTTGAGCAATACAGGTAGTCCTTGACTTATAATAGTTCATTTAGAGACTGTTCAAAGTTACACCACCACTGAAAAAAGTGACTTGTGACAATTTTTCACACTAAAAACCACTGCAACATCCCCATGGTCATGTGAACAAAATTTCATATTTATGATGGTCACAGTGTTTCGGGGACATGTGATCATCTTTTGTCATCCGACAAGCAAAGTCAATGTTAACCATGTTTGTAACCTAACTGCCATGAACCACATAGCAAAAGTGGCAAGAAAGGTTGTAAAAAGGGTTAAAATTCACTTAACAAATATCTCACTTAGCAACATAAATTTTGGGCTTAATTTTTGATCGTAGGTTGAGGACTACCTGTACATTAGCACTCTAATGTGCCACTGCAAATCCTTGAAATTTCAATGTTTGCATACTTCTAGAGTGTGCATCTAATATATTATGCATCTAATACAGTTTATGCATCCCTACTGTATAAAATATGAATATCTGCAGCCTTGTAGGGCATGAACAATATACCAAATTAGTGATGATGGCAAACTAGTCACTCAATCACTTGTGCTGATCAAACAAACAAACAAACACAAACAAACAAACAGATGATTTGCTTCCTGGTCTAAGGCTAGGCAGTAATTATCATTAGTTGTGTGGATAAGAGACAGAGAACGAACTAGAATCTATCATGGGTGTCCATCTGGCAATCTGGTATCTTATGTAAAATATTTTCTTTTGGGGTTCATATGGAAAACCTTTGGAAACTAGTTGAGCTCTGCACATATGCAGATTGCTCTCAGAGCTGTAAGTGCTGACTGTAACCAGCTTTTTAAAGTAGAGAAGTGCAAAACAGTAGTGCAAATTAAGCATCCAAACCAGACAGCTTTTAAAGGGAGGTTCTTCTAAGTCAGTCGCCTGAGGAGCCCTGGAACTCTCTGAGCTCAGATTCTCCAACTTACTAGTTAGTAATGACAGTTGCAGCTGTTCTGAGGGGGCGCTGGGAGTTACTACTGCAAGAGGACAAATTAAACACTCTGAGGCAGGCCATATTTTTCATTTCAGGAAACAAGATGATAAGGCAGAGTTTCTACATGGAGAGATTTCTTTTGTCTTCTAGACTCTGCACATAATCACGAGTACCACTTTGGCTAAAATCTACTTTTTATTTTACTTATTAGGAATATGAAGAAATAATTGCAGTGCTGAAAAAAAAAAAAAGCAGAAAAGCAGATTCTTTTTCTGACCATGTTTACTGAGTCTTTAAGTGAGGGTTGGCCTGAGAAGAAAGGACAGGTCCAAAGTCACCTAGTCAGGTTTCATGCCTAAGGGAGGACGAGAATTCAGTTTCCAGTTCAGCACCGTTAGCCATTATACCGAACTGGCATCACTGTTAATAACCCACACATAAAATTAATTAAACAATTTAGCCAGAATAAATTGGCATTTTAATTTTAGACTCCCTGACTTCATGTTTAGGTAATAGGCCTCTATATGAAGTTTTGACTTGACTTGAAGATTCTTTTCCTAAAAAGTTTCAGTAATCCCCTCTCCATATGCTTGCAAGAGACACTATTAAATCTTAGAAAGACACTTACTTGCATCCCAATCACGGCATAGATAAAAAACAGCATCACTATTAATAGAGCCACATAGGGGAGAGCCTGGAAAAAAAAAAGTAGGTAATGATGAATCATTTATTAAGAAAGCTAGCTTTTTGGAACTTGGGACACAATGTTCTCATATTAAAAGCACCTGAGAGCATAAGACCAGAGGCAAATATTTATTTGACTGTACAGCCTGCAGTAGAATACATATGGATGCATTTACATATGACAATGCATCAAAAAGTAAAATATTAGAGATCTTTTAAAAATTTTGTGCACATACTATCATTAATGTAAACCATTTATTTCTCCACTAGATGACTCTACTGATCCACTGTTGTTTTGCCATAACGAATCCTTCTAACAAAACATTCTGTCTTTCTTAAGTCATTATTATTTCTTTTCACATTAATATTTTTCTTAGAAAAAACAGTGCATTTTTCTTAATATTTATATATATATATATATATACTTCTTTTCAGATAGATAATGATCTCAGCATTTGTTGTAATAAGAATATAGCTACAACTCTTAACTATCAATAACCCTTCCCTATTTAAAAATTGTATGTGCCAACTCTTACATTAATATTTTTTTAAAGTAAGATCACTGTTAAATTGTTAAAAAAGATATAGTCAAAAATTTAGAAATGAATAACACATAGAATAAGAGCCAAAATTATCTGGTATAGAAATATGGATATTTTGAATTGTGGTATTTTGAAGTAAATATATATGGGGAAAATGTTATAATTCACTCAATAAGAAATTATTTGAGCTCCATTAATTTTATTTCCATCAATGGGCATGGAGCTTCACAAAAAGAAACTGTGTTGAAAAAAGTAGTCCAGTAGATATTGGACTCTGGTCATCATATTTCAGAGATAATGGAGAAATATTGCTTCTTGAAATTAGAATGAAAGTGAACGTATCATTTTGTTCCACTTAGACAATCAAATTTTATTTATCTAGAATTGTCTGAGGTACTTCTAAGAAGTAATAATGTTATTCAAGAGTTGAATCCCATTTGCAGCCACCATGTTTCTACATTACATGGGTACATATAAATGTTTAAAAAATTACAGGTAGTCCTCGACTTACGAGCACAATTGGGACCAGAATTCCACTGTTAACCATGGCACTTAAGTGAACTGTGCCTGATTTTACAATCCTTTTTTACCATGGTTGTTAAGCAAATCAGTGCAGTTGTTAAGAGAATCCCAGTCGTTAAGGAAATCCTGCTTCCTCCATTGTCTTTGCTTGTTGGAAGCCAGATGGGAAGGTTGAAAATGGCAATTACATGATACGGGGATGCTGCAGCCAACTGCCTGAATTTGATCATGTGATTATGGGGATGCAGCAGTGATCATAAGTGCAAGGACTGGTTGTAAATTACTTTTTTCTGTGCCATTATAACTTTGAATGGTCACTAAATGAACGGTTGTAAGTTGAGGACTACCAGTATGTAGGATTGACCTGGGGATCTAGAAAGTTCAGCAAGAGATGCATAGAGAATAAATCTGAAAGAAACCCTCTGCAGGTAGAGAATTGGTATACTGCAGAAAGAAATCAGTAGGTTTGATTTGGACTGGAGACTGCTAAATACGTATTTGCATGGGACCTTTTCTGAAGTCTCGGGTGTTTTCTGATCAGCTGTATTCTTTGTATATATAAAAGAATGTATGTCATGTTCTTTTTTTAAAAAAATTTAAATGGTAATTTGTGATCAAACAATTGTTGTGGAGTCAGGTGACTTTGAAATTAAAATAGCTCCAGCCATAGTGGGACCTCAGTTTTGTGGCCACCTGCATAGATTTCACCCTTGCATCCATGATTTTATGTCAGCTGGAAAACAAGATCAAGATATGCATAAGGGTTTGGGTCTCTTGCCATGTTTGGACTGAGTCCAGTTGCCAGTAATGGCCATAGATCAGCCTTCCCCTACCTGGTGCTCTTAAGATGTGTTGGGACTATCACTCCCATCATCCCCAGCCAGCATGTGGTCCAACACATCTGGAGGGTGCTATATTGGGGAATGTTGCATAGCTGAATGATTCCCCAATTGCATCAGCAAGCTGACCTGATGGACGGAAAGTGCATCACCTTTATTTTAATATAAAAACAATTTTACTATAAAATTGTTGTATTCACTTTTTTGCCTTAACACTTGTATTGACAGGAATTAAACTCTCAGTTTAGAGTCCAATAATTCTGCAATTGGAGAAGTGTGTGACTCTTACACATTTCTTTTTTTAAAAATAACTGTTTGAGTTTCAAAGTCCTCTACCCAGCCAGGCTTCATTCCATCCATCCTAATCCTGAGACTCCTGGATGTAGAAACTAATTTATCCTGGGCAGAGACCATTTCAGAAATTGTTGCTGTATCCCATATAAACAATGTAATGTAAAGAGCAAACTGGAACGGGACTGCTGCCCTGAGGTAAGGCCACATAAAACAGAAGGAAAGAATACCTGGAAAGACTTGATGAAGGTCCAGAGCAGCGTGCGGATGCCCTCCCCTCGACTCAAGAGCTTCACCAGACGCATCACACGGAAGAGTCGGAAAAAGGTGATTGAGATGCGAGAGTTGTCCTCTGTGTTCTGGAACCCATTGGCACAGAGGGCAGTAGTTACAACAGCAGGTGAAGAAAACCCACCCTGGGCCACAGAAAATGCGACTTACAGGAAGAGCTCACTGCACTGTTCCCCTGCCTTAGAAACCCACCCCTCATCTTTTACTACCATGCTCATCTCTTCTCTATATCCCTATGATAAAGTCTATATTCCCCACATCCTTCTTCTCAATTCACTGTAGTTGTTCAGGAGCATTTCAAACATTATTCTCCTTGTTTTAACAAGATGAACTTGCCAGGGCTCTTGCTAGTAGTGTGAAGCCATGTTTGCTTACTTCATTGATTAAAGGGTCATAACAAATGGGTGCGAAATTATTTAGTCTGCGGAACTTAGGCATGCAGTTACATTTTTCTCCACAATATAATGAAATTATATTTTACAATGACATCAATATAATGAAATCATAGAAGTGCAGCTGTAGTTTACACTGTATTGGGGATTTAAGAATGAATATTGCAGATACTTGGCTCATTAAAAAAAAACAGTACACACAAATGTACTGTGTTATTTGGTTGGGAGAAAGAACAATGATTACTCAAAATACTATAAGCAGAAGCTATTATTTTTGTGTAAATATTACTTATATCAGATAGGATTTTTCCTCCTTTTTTACTGAAAAAACTATCCCACATTTGGGAAGTTTGGAAGGTATGGGCAATGAAATGAAATCCTGATGCTCAGATACAGAGTAAGCAGGCTATACAAAATGTGTTTCATTTTATTGCATGCTGAATAAGAAGTTCTTAATCCAAAAGGAGGTAACAATTTTTAGCCATATGGACTAACAACCCAGCAAAAAGCATGCAATCTAAATTGGGATAAGGGATCTTCTCTATTCTCATCCCTGCAGAAATCCCACAAAAAATGATGCATACGTTGTATTTGGAAACACTAATGTCTAAAGCATGCTTATATGGTTTTTTTTTTGCAAGGGAAAGTCCTAACTTTAAAATATGTTCACTTTATCTCTGATATACTTAATCTTGGCAATATTAGGAGCAATAGCCATTTCAAAGTTTGCTTCTAAAAGAAATACTTTTCAATGTGTACTGCATTATAAAAATAAATTCAGTTAGAAGGATCCAAGATGAAACAACACTAATGCTTCTTGTGTTTTTCTGTAGTTTGGTACTACATCTTCGCTTATTTTCTCTGTCCCCAATTTTATTTCTCATGACCCCTGGGTATTTCCCACAGCCTGTCCACTGCCCAGATAATATAGTTATTTTGACCTGCCACTACTGTTTAATAGTTCCTAGAATTTAAAATAGCTTTTTTTCCCCCTAAGAGGCTTCTGATGTTCTCATAGCTTAGTCCCTTAGCACAGGACTCATTCATACTATTCCCTTTGGAGCCTGTGACTTACATGGACATTCCTCTCACTGCACTAAGCCAGGATAAGCCTGAATCAGATGGGGTCAACTAGTTTCCCTTGGCTTTTGTGAGAAGGCTTCCTACCAAATAGACTACTGATAGGGAATTGGGTATTGGTGTTACCAAACCATACCAAGATAGACTAGTGAAGGATGAAGAGGAGTTTTAGTACCCTGTTTTAGATATGGTCTATTTCTACGTAGGTTGTAGAACGCTGGCAGATTTCAAAGGAAGTAATAGCACATTCTTCATTCTTATGCTCTTTAATTTTCCATGGCTTCCATCAAAACAACAGTTTAATGCTCTCTCTCTTTCTGATCTATCTGGAAACAGTGCAGATCACCTACCACCCAACAAACATATCTCCCAATTTGAGCTACTCACCACTTGTAGTAACCATGAGAGAACAGGTCCTTTGATTTCCTGTTAAGCTCTTCTAGCCTGTGAGTATTTATATGTCTATGTGCATATATACAGAATTCAAATCTTGAATTATATACAAAACTGTATATAAACAGTTTGCAATTTTCTGGGTTTTTTTCTGTATAATTTATATGTAAAATGCATCATTTTCCTTTTTTTAAAATGAGGCATAATTAAGATGCTGCGAATCAAACCTATGTTTTGACTTATTTAAAATGCATATAGCCTTTTATTTTTGTGATTTTTTTTCCAGCAGGTTTGCAGAAATCAATCACTGGTTTTAGTACTTAGAAACATTTCCCGAAATACACATGAAAATAATCCTGTTCTAGAATTAATGAATGCTTGCTGTTGAAGGTATGCTATTCAGCTGAGAAAGCAAAGAAATGCTATGATACACGCAGTTCCCAAGTCTGACAACCAACTTTGTTCAGGTTATAGAATTTGCTGAATTAAGTAATCTAGTCAAGAAAAAGGATATTAACTGACTTTTTAAAGTGAACCAATGTGGAACTGTGGGAAATACAATGTTCTTTAGACCCACATATTATTAGACCCACAAATTATTCTATTACTTTCATTTCCACTTCATAAGGGACACTTTATGCCATTGTAACATTATTGAATTTGGCTAAGTGATTGTCATCATTTCCTACCTTCATTTCAGAGCCATAGCCATAGAGCAGTACGACATGTCCTATCTAATCCTGAGGAATATAACACAGGCATTGCAATGCGAAGTTACAGTGAGATGAAATAAGAGAAAATAACCTTAGTGTCTCCAGGTAATATTCATCTCAACCAACCAATAATGGTATGATAGAATGGTAATATCTTAAAGCATAATATGTGCTTAATAAGCTCCCATTTCCCTGTTAACATTATTCCCTGGATGGCAGGAATGGCCGTTTCAAGCATATTGTCCACAATATGGAAATCAGCGTCTCGGCATACAGTAAGTTAACCACACTAGTCCAGTTCACTCAGAATTATATTTCCTTCTCTCTTCCCTCACCTTTAATTAGAGATCCTTCAACAGGGTGAATTAATCAGTGTGTAGGTGTGACACTGTCTTGGGCAAATGAGGTGGAAGGATTTGTTTGCACAACTAGAATTGGACAGACCACATCTCATATTCTATGTGGATCTTTATTGTCTGATTTCATTGTTGTATGAAAATATAAATATTAGCTTTCTTCTCTGTTTGAATTTATTTTGCAAGCCAATCCACTTGATTCAAAGAGCTCATTTTTTTAACAAACAAGAAATCCAAAAAGGGTTCCAGTTCTCTCTTGGTAATAACTCATTATATGGCAGGACAACAGATAACTTGATTGAAGAAAAAATCAAGGATGCACATGAAATACAAATCATGTGCAGAATAATCAATACCAGACTCTACAAATGGTTACACAACGTGAGAGGTTACATGCAGAGATAACTGGGCCAGGTTTGGAGACAGAAACCTTAGTAGTCAGGGTGGCAAGAGAATAAGGCATGTATTAGGAGGTTAAGTAGTGTTGCAGAAGAAGATGGTTAGGTTTTTGTCTAGGAATGCACACAGGGACAACAAAACATCACAGTGAGGAAGGAAGGATATAAAGAAAAAAATAGGACAACACAGTAGAAAAGACTGTTCTCTGGAATGCAATGGATCAAATTCAGCCATCATTAAAGAGTCCTCTTATGGAATTCAGCAGATTGCACACATTCACACAATTGTATGGATGGGGTTAAGAATTTTAATCCATTGTCTTACAGATATACAGATAATTGAATCTATCAAAAGATATGTATAGTTCTCAGATTAGTTTTATATTTCTTTTCATAAAATGCATTCCTTTAGACTCCAAAATTATAGATATTTTCTTGGGAAAAGAAATCATGAAGTCCAATCGTTTTAGGAATACAACTATATTAACTGAAGTGATAGAACTTTCCCTTGTCTAATCTATTTCCTTTCTCAGTACAAAGAGCACAGATGTTAAAATACAGTAAAGCTTCAAATCTCTGGACCTTCATTCATCAGACTAAGGACAAGAAGAGACAAATTTTACTTTAGACTTAATTTCCATAATAAATATATTCCACTATTTCCAAAGCAGTCCAGACAATTGATATAATCTATGTAATTTGTATGGTTACCTGACAATTTTAACATTAGTTAAATAATGATGCAAAAGGCATAAATGTCACTATGAAAATTCAATTTTAATGGACATCCATTAAACTGAAATGTTATTATATTTTAAAAAAAATTACATCAGGATCCATTTTCACTGCTGGGTTTTCCAATTAATATTAAAATGAAGCTGTTTTCCTATATATAAGAAATAAACAATTTCCACGTTTTGAACTACAACTTCTACAATCCCTTGCTAATGGCCATGCTAGCTGGCTGATCCGTCTTAGGTCTAAACCAGGGGTGTAAAACTGGATTTCTTCGAGGGCCAGATCAGCATTTTAGTTCTCTGTGGGCCGGCGGTGCTGGGGGGTGGGATGGGAGGCAGGACAGATGCCTCCTGCAGCACCCTGCTGGCCAAAATGGGGTATGGGAGGTCTGTGTGCAGCCCCCCTGTGCCTCATTTTTGCCCTCCATGCCTCCTGCAGCACTTTGCCAGCTAAAAACAGGCCGTGTGGCCCATTTTTCGGCATGTTTTCGGCCCATTTTCTGGCTCAGTTTTTGGCAGGCAGAGTGCTGGAGGCCATGGAGGGTGAAAATGAGGCACAGAGGGCTGCATGCAGCCCGTTTCAGCTGCCTGAGGCATTGCGGGCCAGTCCTTTGATAGTTCTAGGCCAGTCCCATGGGCTGGATTTAAGCATTGTGCGGGCTGAATCCAGACCATGGGCCTTGAGTTTGACACCTGTGGTCTAAACTATTTGATAGTTGGCAAAAGCTAAGAGGACTTGATATAACTATATTCTTAGCTTTCCACCAAGTAAAGTTTCTGATGTCTTTAATATGCTTGATTTTTATTTCTGTGTAACATTCAGTTTTGATTACAATCTTATAAAAAATCTGGAGACATGTCCTATTGGACTTAAATTTATTCCTGACTAGAAATGTACAGGATTGAATGTTATGTTTTTTTAGATTACAGAAAAGGCGCATTTATTCTATTTGTAATATTAACCAATCTGGAGGTATGATAGTTATCTTTGGTTTACCT